AACTCAACCCATACTACCGCGGGAAGGCGCGGTAGCCTCCTCCGGAAGACGCGGAGGCAGCTAACTTGCAACGGCGGTAGGGATTACCATGGCGCGGAATCTTCTCGTGTTCGGGTTCCTCAGATGAGTAACCAACCCGAAAGAATCCATGCCGATTTATTGAGCGTTTCATCTGCTTGTCGTGCCGCATGCTCGCGTTGTATGTCTGTATCAATTCCGGACTTGAGACACCGAGCTCCTCACTTTGAGACACACACCCAGAAACAGTTCAGGCAGCCCTACCTATCGTTGCATGAATGAGAGTCACCTGCATACCACGCAGCCGGCCGCTGACCGAGCGCACTGCCGGTACGTCCTGGAAGGCGCGGGTCAGCGGGGTGGGTGGGGGGGAGGGGGGGGTTGTGTGTAATCATGTCATGTTTTTGATGCCTTAGCGGTTAGACCACTGACTGACCACGTCGTCCTCGAGAGGATGGAGCGTTGTTCCCGCAGGAGGACCGATTACCGATGGCCAATCGTTTCCGGGGGGGGAGGGGTGGAGGTCATTGAACGTTGCTGGCGTGCCAATGAGTCAAGGCCGCGCCAGAGCAGTTTAGGAAGACCATCGGCCCTTAGAAGGGGTGCGAGAAACACGCAGCCTATTCCCGCTCTTTTTGGTTTCGCTGAAAGGTCCTGTGTCTTGCTGTTTGCTAGGGGGAACGATTGCCCCCCCGCCCCCCAGTTGGGCGGGCGGCCAGCATGCATGCGTGGGATGGGTGCGGCGGTTCGATAGGCGGAGGAATTAGACGCTACGATGACATCGCGACGCACGAAGTCTTAGACGATGTGAGGTCCACACGTCTGTAGCGTAGATCGGTGGTTCTGCCAAAAAAAAAAAGTGCTGGTTATATGCACATGTTGCTGATAAGAACACCCAAACAAAAACGGTTGATTTTGATTTCAGAGGAACGGCCGGTGTTTTTCTTAGGGCATGCACGATGCAGACCGAGACGTCGAAACGACGACACAAACAGCTCCTTCCTTCTCTCCGCGACATGCGGGACCCCACCATTGATTGGTCACATTGCCAAATAAATATGTCGTGTGGGATGTTTTGAGAGCCTCCCTGAAAAAAGGCAACGCTCCGCGCGGCGGTCGCTGCTCCGCCCTCCGGCCAATCGGGGAGGAGGACCAAAAAAAAAAAAGAAGGCGATTTGAAGCTGTGTGATCGTGCGGTGTGACACGGTGTGACCCCGGCTGTGATCCACCAAGGCACACAGCAGCACACAACCATAACGTGTGTAGACTGGTACCACAATCAATATATGAGGGGCGAACAGACACCCACCCACGCCACATGATTGATACTGCTTTGATCATACCGCCGGAGGTGGTCGGATGCAGTAATCATCATTGCACTTCTTGACACTTTCTTGATGGGTCTCGCTGCCCCTGCAGTTGGCTCGTCCCGCCGGGCCTCGCCAACACCAACCGCACCCCCAAACGCAGCGGCACGACCCAGCTGGACTGGTCAATCAGCCCTGCGCCTTGAGGGCTGGCACCCGCTCTCTATCCTGGGTCAACCTGTGTGGTGGGCGTGTGGGAGTGATTGTTGATCGTGTTTGTTTGCAGCAATTATTTGCGGTGCAATCCTCCGAAGCGGTGTGATCGAGGGGGTTTCGCCAGAAACAACAAACAACCCCTCCCCTCCCCCCCCGCCCTACCCCGTACAGGGCGCAATATTCTCGTGCAGGCTGGTGCATATGTTGGGTGGAAGGTTTGTAGCAGGTGATACTGAGAGGTTATACATGCATGGGATGCGCACACCCCCGCATCAACTCGTCGGATGCTGATGGTGCAGAAATGGAATCGAGAGAAGAAAGAGTTGGGGCACAAACTGCCCGTAGAATGTTGTCAGAATTTGTTTGTGGCACGGCGCCGGCCAAAGAGGCGAGCGGGGGCCAGAAGGGGAATGTCGAGCGACCCTGCAAGTGCCTCGAAATGCGACAAAAAACCACATACATGGCTGTGTGTAAACAACCGCTGCAGGTGGAGACGTCCGCCTTGGAGATCAGACAATGATCTGGGCAGCGGGGGGGGGCAGTGTTTCCTATACATGCAGCAGCAGAAAATTTAGAAAAGCGGAAGACCTCTCTCTCCATTCCCCAGCCACCTCGCCGCGTAGGACCGCAAGGGCCGTGTAATACATGGGCCATTTCACCAAGTTTTCTATTTCCCAAAAATTGACAGTACATGGAATCGAAGAGTTTGGAAATTTGAATTTTCCCCCAAAATTTAGAAATAAACCTATATCCATATACGCGGATGCATGGGCCCACAACATTTTCAGGAACGGTAGCGCCCAAAAATTGTTGGAAATTTCCTTGTGTTTTTGCCTTCGATTTCGCCTCGCCAAAGCTTCCTTCTACTGCTGCCATGCAAATTTGCTAATGGAAATGTCCCGCAGTTCGCCCGCACTTGAGAACTTGGCAGCCAAGAAGAAATTGATGTACAAGTAGCCTCGAAAAAATCAAAACCTAAGAGCTTAGTCTAAGGGTGAGCTCTCGGTTAAGAACCACTACGCTACAAGCAATATAGCGACCATTCCCAGCACAACCCTAGGATCTCATAAGTAACCCCACGGGGCGAAAGTAGAGATTGTCAAGTGGGTGGCGCTCACTGCAGTCTTCGTGGAAGACCTGGTGCGGTCGAGATGCATTGAAAAAGGACTGACATGTTGCACTCTACGAATAACTTATGGTTGGTGCCATATATGATGTATGGTGGTGGCCATCCATGCTCTACCCCCCTTCGCTATTGTACGTACCCTACACACGCATATGCATAGACTACACACTTACCCGGTCAACATCGATTGACATCCGGGTCACAGCACCAACAACAGCAAAGGACTAAATACAGCTATTATTCGTTTGGTCAACACAACAGATTTCTTTAGTGTTTCAGTAACACAAAGAGAGAGTTTTTAAACACTACACCAACACACGCGTTACATGGTGTGAAACCGAATACTCACCTCTACCTGGCTATTACCACACCAGTACCGTGGTCACGCTACCTGGTGGATCGCTGTGTTTAAGCAAGACTACAAGTGATGCTTTCCCCACACATCTCCTAAGACGCCCCCCCCCCCCCCCC